TCAGAAAATCCATTTTCTCGCACAGAAATTTCATGCACAGGAGAGACGTGCACGATGTAAGAAAGAATCCAGAGCGCGGCTCCGGTTCCCGCTGTCCCCGCTGTGCGGCCCCGCCGGCGGCAGCCCCGCGCACCGCAGAGCACCGCGGCCGGCTCCGCCAGCCCCGCGGCCCGGCACTGCCGCATCCCGCCGCTCCGCCGCCCGCGCCTCGCCGCGCTGCCCCCGCCAGCCCCGGCTCTGCTCCGCCCCCGGCGCCTCCTCCCCGCCGCCACTGCCAGCTCCGCCCCGGGGCTGCTCTAAACCACCTCGCTGTCTTTCAGGTGTCTCTTAATGGTATCTGAAGACATTTGCTCCAAAACACATCTTTGAAGGAGGTATTAAGTTGGTCAGTAGTTCCCTGAGTACCCATTCTCAGTCCCGCTAAATGTTTTTGATGCCTGTTGTTCTTTCCTAGCTACGACCACCATCCCTCAACTGTCATGACTCCTGAGCAATGTCAGAGTGCTGCATCACAACGATGTCATACAATCAATCACCCTTGGATGCATCTCAAGGGCACAAGTATGTCCAGCTGGATTAAGTTCTCCATTAAGTTTTCCTCCTTTATAGGGGGTGCTTCTTCACTCCCATGAATTCTGTGAATGAAGCTCAGGAGCCATGTAGGTTTGTCTGAAAGAATTGTCATGAAAATGGATGAAAAGGAAGCATTCATTATATTACACATTTACTTCTCACTTTTATTGACATCTCATGGTCCAGTGGACACACAATCTCCTTAGCTTCCGTTTTGCTGCCACAGGAGAGTTAAGGATGCTTTTCTCACAGTTCTTCCCAGCAGGTTTTCATCCCAGGCTGACCTGTGGTGTTCCTGACTGCATCCCTGCATGGGCAGCAATGTCTCTGAGTTGCTCACACTTAGACTGCCCCATTTCAAATTCTGAAATCTCCAGAATTCTTGATGTCCAGCCATACTGCTCATCCAGCATTTAATGGCTGCAGTCTCTGCTGCCTGGAAGCAGAACTGTGTGGAAGAGTTGTAAAGGACTGTACACTGATATGCAGACAAACGTTTGGAGACCTTCTGTAGCACTGGACTTGCCATTCTTTGCCGAGGAAATCAAACAGCTGACACTTCAGCAAATTGGAGAATCCACTGTCAAAGGGAGGTGTCTCACACAACTTTGCTCCTTCCTCCAGTCATCAGGCTTGAGTTCAGTCACTTCTGATGACCTCTCTCAATGGATCTAGTACTTTCTCCCCAGTGTCCAGAGGGCTGTGCCTCTTCTGAAGCTGCATGTCTGTGACTAAAGCAAGAGCATTTTTTTTGTTCCAGGATATCATCTTCCAGCCTCAATCATCCTGCCTGCCTTAATCTATGGCCTGTTTGCCATGGACTCCACCTGCCGTTCCTTCCTTACTTTGTACTGTTGAGGCTCTAGTCTTAGTCTGGGTTCACCCTTGAAGTGCAACTGAGCACCCGAGAAACACAGACATCCTGAAGGGGATCTGGCTGATGGCTGGCTCAACAAGAGCTGACATTGTGTCCTGGTAGCAAAGTCGTCCGAGTGAATTTTCTGATGTACTAAAAACTTCGTAGCCTTTTGGTAAAAAAAGGTCATTTGCTCACTATAGTTAGTCTTGGTGTGTCCTCAAATGGAATGCGT